CTGTATAGCACAGGAAACTCTACTCAATATTTTGTAATAACCTATAAGGGAAATATATATATATATATATATATATATATATATCACTGAATCACTTTGCTGTACACCTGAAACTAACACATTGTAAATTAACTACATCTCAATTAAAAAAAAATCAGTTCCGGGACTTCCCTGGTGGTCCAGTGGGTAAGACTCCATGCTCCCAATTCAGGGGGCCTGGGTTGGATCCCTGGTCTGGGAACTAGATTCCACATGCCGCAACTAAGCGTCTGTGTGCTGCAACTAAAAAAGATCTCGCATGCCTCAACTAAGACCCAGGGCAGCCAAAAAAAAAAAAAAATCAGTTCCACTTGCTATGTGACTGAGACCACCCCTTACACCTCTCTGAACCTGTTTCTTCCTCTCTAAAAGCCAGGGGCTGGGTGGGTGTGTGTGTGTGACTAGACCTTAGCTCTGTGAGGATGTCTTTTAAATATTTTGAAATCTGTAATATGAGGTAGATATGAGTTATTATTGCTTTAATTCCGTGGGGAGGGGCCTGGGAGGCCTGCCCCCTTTGTGTCACCTAACTTGGAACCTCTACCAGTGCCCCAATACCTGGCCTCCAAAGCCTGTCATGATCTTGATTGTCACCCAGAGACCTGAAGTCTGAATTTGGCCCACAGATGTCCACATGGTGTGTGTGTTTTGTCATCATTTAACAATTTCACATACAAATTGAGTTCTCTGAAACTTGGCCAGCTCTGTTCACCCCATCCCACCTTCACACGTGGCATCAAACATGAGTGCAGATCGCCGGCTGCTTCCTTTCAAGGGGACTCCAGCTCACCAGGTCCCCACAGGACTTGCTCCCTCATTTGTGAACCAGTAGGCTCCCAATTTGCAATTTGGCCCTCACCTCTCTGGCTTTGTCCTTGGCCTCATGTCCTCATACGCTGCACTGTGTGTATCCCTTTAACACTCCTCGGTGCTTTCCCCTTTAATGCTTTTGCCTCTTCTTACACTGGCCTCCCTGTGGCACTCTGGGGAAACCCAATAAACACAGACCTATCTCCACCATCCTGATTTCATCAAACACCTACCCTGAGCTGGCACAAGATAGAGGGGAGAAGCCAGCCAGCCTCTGCCCTCCCTGAACTCACAATCCTGTAGGGGAGAAACCAACAAGAACTCACCACGTGTACTCAGATACTCCCTGTAAAGGACTGGGGTCCTAACAACCACACCAGTGCATTTCCTCTGGGCTCCCAACATGTGGCAAGGCTAGGCAGTTAGGGCCACAGTAAATGGCAGATTCTATTTTGAAGGTAGTTTTGTGAGTTTATGAAAGATCTTTGGATCTATGTGCTGTAAAAATTTCAGCAATAACAGTAGGTCATTAAGTGGAAGGAGGACGTGCCCTTTCCCCAGCATGTCCCCATCCTGTTGCCCAGGTTGGGCCACTGTTAAGTTTTCTGGGTGTTTTTCCATTCCCTCTATATGCAGATACTCTACGTGCTGCTCTAGAAATATGCTTGTCCCCTCATTTTTATGAGTTAATCAATACCAAATGAAATCATACGAATAATGCCCAGCACAGTCAACTACTATTTTTTTTTGGCCACGCCACATGGCTTGCAGGATCCAGGTATTGAAACCAAGCCATGGCAGTGAAAGCCTGGAATCCTAACCACTAGCCACCAGGGAACTCCTAGTCAGCTACTATTTTTTGGCACACCTCAGACAGCTTTCTTTTTTTTTTTTTAAATGTTATTTATTTTTATTTGTTTATTTTTGGCTGCATTGGGTCTTTGCTGCTGTGCACAGGCTTTCTCTAGTTGCGGCGATCGGGGGCTACTCTTCGTTGCGGTTCGCAGGCATCTCATTGTGGTGGCTTCTCTTGTTGCGGAGCACAGGCTCTAGGCATGTGGGCTTCAGTAGTTGTGGCACGCGGGCTCAGTAGTTGTGGCTCACGGGCTCTAGAGCGCAGGCTCAGTAGACGTGGTGCACAGGCTTAGTTGCTCTGTGGCATGTGGGATCTTCCCGGACCAGGGCTCAAACACATGTCCCCTGCATTGGCAGGCGGATTCTTAACCACTGCACCACCAGGGAAGCCCTCAGACAGCTTTCTTAAGATGCAGATCTTTTATTATTGTCCCCAAGCTGAGGTAAGGAAGTCCCTACAGGAACTCCATCTTGGGGAAAGGGGTGGAATGTGCCTTCCCCCAAGGTAGGTGTGGTTGATCCAACAGAAACCAAGTGAAAAAGGCCTATTCCTGTTTGGAGGGGGTGCTAATAAGGCACCCAACCCCTCCCTTGCTGAGAGCTGACTGGTGACATCCAATCATCTGAGGTAGGGTTAGGGCCACGACCAGGGCTGGGAGGCCCTCCCATACCTGGTCCAGGCCTGAGACTTCTCAACACTGCCAGGCAAGGCCTCTCCTGCCTACCCGGCCTGGACTCCCTGGTGGGTGGGGGAGGTGCTGCTCAGGCCTGATGCTGATCTCTCCTGACAGCTGCTCCTAAGGCTGGCAGGGCGGGCAGGAGGGGGAAGGGACAGATTTAAAGGTCTAGCTGCCCCGCCCCCTGCCAGACCTGGGAAGGCAGACGCTGGTGAGCATCCTCTCTGTCCTGATTTCCGCTTCTTGGTACCATGAACGCCACTGGTCCTCATTCCCACTTCCATCCCACAGGACATCAGGAAGACTAGCGGCACCCACCATGCGATTTCGACGCCTGACACCTGGCTACTTCCGAGTGCTACAGGTAAGCACCCCAAATGGTGGCTTCTGGGACCGACCCCTTCCTCCCCCTACCATGGCTGGGAAGATACCCAGCAGCCGGACTGTCACGTTCCCTGCTGCCTGAGCAGCCAGGGCCCACATAGCCCACATAGGCAGTGAAGCGAGAGAGATTGGGGTGGAATCTCCCTGGGGCAGCAATGGTATCCATATCTCCTTCCCGCAGCTGTAGCTTCTCAGCCCCTTTCCACCCCCGACCTTCCCAGAAGTCTCAGCTGACCCCTCAGGTGGACCCTCTGTGCACCTCCAGATGCAGATAGCCGGGGAGCTGAAGGCAGAGCCCCGGAGTCCGCTGGTGGGGATCGTGGCTGCACTGCTGGCTATCCTCGGGCTGGGCGGCTCCTGCTATGCTGTCTGGAAGATGGTGGGGCAGCGGCGGCCGCCACAGGCTCCATGATGAAGTGGGCAGCCTCTCACCTGGGCCCTGGGGGGTAGGTGGCTCGCAAGGGCTACAATCTCAGGAGCATACTTCTTTTCTGAGGGGGGGGGGTCACTCCCTGCCCTCACTGGAAGCAAGGCAGTATAAACCTGATCCTACCCATCCCCCACACACACCTGGGCTGCAATGGGGGGCTTCAGCTCAGATGCCAGGACCCCTGAGGGAAGGAAAGGATGCAGGTTCTAAAGCTGAATCAAGTAGGGAGCAAACACCCTGGGCCCCGTACACAGGAGTAGAGAGAAACCCTTACAGGGCTTGAATTTGGAGGAGCGGCCTGGAGGTTAGCGAGTCAGAGGCAAGCTCTTTATCCAGTTCTTTTATTGGAAGGGAGGGCACCCGGAAGAGGCCATCTACTTCCCAAACCAAAAGAGACTGGCACAGTCTCTCCCAGCCTGGCCCTTGCATCACTGTCCATGGGCAGCTCCTCTGCCTTGCATCCTCAGGCCATGTCAGGTAGACGTGTCCATCTCTGGGACCGCGGTGGATACTTCTGTGGGCACTGCCAGCCTTTGGGGAGAAACATAGGAACCCATACCCGCTGCCCTCTCTGCTTCTTCCTGACTGTAGGGCTCCACACTCAGCTGCTTCAGCCTGGGAAAAAAAATAGGAGTTGAGAGCTGACCAGATGCAAGCCCTGTCTGCCCGGGACACATCCATCAATCCTCTCCTTACTCCTTCATACCTTTTCTTGTGGTCTTTGGATCGCAAGTGGGTCTTCAGGTTGGCAGAATCGATGAAGTACCTCCTGTAGAGATGGGGGGTAAGGAGGATAGTTAGAAGGTGATGCCTCTCAGGTACGCCTATTTCCCTGACCCTAGCTCATTCCCTGATGCTAGGCTCCGGGCTTGAAGGGATGGGAGGCCGGCAGACCCACTGGTCCCAGGAGAAGAGACCCTGCGCGTCCCAGGACCCGGATCTCACACCCCCGGCCCGTACCGCGGACCCTTCTCCTCCTCAGGGTAGGCCCGGCCGGAACTCACGCGCAGGCCAGACAGCGATGCAGGCCGCCCCCTGGCAGGTCGGGATCGGGTTCCGCGCCTGGGTCTGGCCGGGGCCGTGCGGCAACCTGGAGCCGCAAATCGCGGTGAATCTCATCCAGGTCCGGCTGCCGCCGCTTCGCCTTCATCTGGCGGGCCAGGGAGTGCGCTCGGTGCGCGCCCGTCCGGCGGGAGCGACCCATGGCGGGGGACAGCAGGACTTGGGCGGATCATTAGAGAAATGCAAATCAAAACCACAATGAGGTATCACCTCACACCTGTCAGAATGGCCATCATCAAAAATCTAGAAACAATAAATGCTGGAGAGAGTGTGGAGAAAAGGGAACCCTCCTGCACTGTTGGTGGGAATATAAATTGATACAGCCACTATGGAGAACAGTATGGAGGTTCCTTAAAAAACTAAAAGTAGAACTACCATATGACCCAGCAATCCCACTACTGGGCATATACCCCGAGAAAACCATAATTCAAAATGAGTCATGCACCCCAATGTTCACTGCAGCACTATTTACAATGGCCAGTACATGGAAGCCACCTAAATGTCCATCGACAGATGAATGGATAAAGAAGATGTGGTACATATATACAATGGAATATTACTCAGCCATAAAAAGGAATGAAATTGAGTCATTTGTAGTGACGTGGACGGACCTAGAGTCTGTCATACAGAGTAAAGTAAGTCAGAAAGAGAAAAACAAATACTGTATATTAACACATATATATGGAATCTAGAAGAATGGTACTGATGAATCTAGTGGCAGGGCAGGAACAGAGACACAGATGTAGAGGATGGACTTGTGGACACAGTGGGGGAAGGGGAGGGTGGTACAAACTGAGAGAGTAGCATTGACGTATATACACTTACATGTATAAAATAGATAGCTAGTGCGAAGCTGCTGTATAGCACAGGGAGATCAGCTCAGTGCTTTGTGACCACCTAAAGTGGTGGGAGAGGGGGGGGGGGGGGGGGGTCCCAGAGCCCAGCTGGGAGAACACGTGTGGGCGCTTCCGGACTGCTCGATGACGCCTTGTGACGCCCTGGGAATGATCAGGCTCTGCCAGACCGCCTCTGATGACGTCACTTGCGCGGGCCGCGCCTCGAGCGCCCCCAGGCGGCCGTCGACGTCAGTGACGGAGCTCGGGGCCGGGCCCCACGAAGCGTCCTCTTCCGTCGCTGGAAGGGCAGGGTGGTGCGTGCCCTGGGGGGATGCCGGCCCGTCCGGTGCCCTGCCCGCCCCGCCTGGCCCACAGCACCGTCCTCTGGCCTTATCACCCCTTCCTGGTTCCCAGATCTTAGACTCCGCGTTGCGTGTGTGGGGGGGGATGCTGCGTCTTTGGGAGGCACTGAAAAATGTCTGTGATGTTAATAAATTAATAAATGAATGAGAGTGAATAAGTTTGGGATCCCGGCCCCCACAGAAATGCCTCTAGTCCCTGAGAAAGCCCTCGCCACTTCTCACCCCTCCCCAGTTATTCCTCCCCAGAGATCACAGTGCTTAGGCGTACTGTCAGACTCAAGAAGGGTCGGCTCCTCTCACAAGAAAAGGAGATGCTCACAGAAGGACCTCCCATCTTTGAGCCCCTTCTCTGAGCCCTGGACTCCCAGGCGTGGGCTGGCATCAAAGGGAGAGATACAGCCCAGGTGTTGTGTGCTCAGAGTGGGGAGAGGGCCAGAGAGCCTTTTCCCATGCACCAGAGCCTGGTGCCTTCCAGGCTGACCAGAGGAACTCAGCAATAATTCAGGGGCTCCGGTTCTTTGGAACCTGTTGCCAGGAAACAGGGAGACCAGCACGTGCATCCCTGGGGAGAGGAATCAGTTTCCAGCCCAGACAAAGCGGTGAAATGTAAGCCCAGGGCACCGACTGGGAGCCTTGGGACCTTCCCACTCCAGTTCACAGAGGCTGAGTGCAGACATAGGGCAGAGCCCTGTTGAGGGCACAGCTGGTATGGCTACAGTCACAGGGGAACCACTGTGGGTCCTGAGCCCAAGGACTTTGTAAATGGAATGTGTGAATGGAAGAGAATATTTCTGAAGCCATTCCAAATGATCAAATTCAAGAACTCCTAGGCCCAGGAAGGAGGCTTCTGTGGAGGGAGTCTTCATTATTCTTGGCGAATATGGGTCAAGACGAGGGGCTGAAGTGGCAGAAGCTGGCTCTCACCACAGACTCCTTTGGATTGGGTTCACCTGCTGGGCACTGTGCCATCTGGGGAGGTTGGTGCATCTTTAATGAGGTCACCTGATCCCTGGGACAGGCTCTCAGCCTCACCAAGTTCCTGGAGCCAGACACACTGGGTGCTTCCCGTGCCTGGGTGCCAGGCCCATTTCCCCTGCAGCCATGAACCAAGCCTTCTGGAAAACCTACAAGTCCAAAGTGCTACAGACCCTGAGTGGGGAATCTGAGGAGGACCTGGCAGAGGAGGTGGGTAATATCCTGCTTGCTGGATGGGGCATGGGCAGAGGGGCAGCAGGAGTGAAAGATACTAAGAAGGGCAAGGGACTGGCTATGAGAGAGAGAGAGAAAGAGAGATTTGTGCAGAAGCAACTGGCAATTCATGGATGACCAATGGCACGGTACAGTGTCAGAAAGTCAGGACATTCCAGAAAACCAAGGAAGAAAAGACTTGGGGGGCACTGGAAGAGTGGTCACTGTCTCCAGAGATCTCAAGGGCTGCCACACGGAAGGGATCCTTTTAGGACCAATGAGCAGTACCCACACAGATACACTCAGCTTGACACAACTTTCTAATGGGCAGAGCTGAGCAAAAGCAGGATGACTCACCTTGAGAGGAAGCAAACCCCCGGGAAGTGGCACTTGTACACTGAGGGTTACTGTAGCAGCAACAGAACAGAGCCAGACTTGGACCATGTTTATTCTGACATTTAAAAAGAAAAATTGAAAAGCCTCCAAAACAGTCTTACCTCTGGAGGCTGTGATAAATGGCAATTGCACAAATAGATATGGCAGAGGCAGGAACTAGTGCTGGGGTGTGTGTATGTCAGTGTGAACACGTGTCTGTCTACACAGGTTGGTGTCTAGGGCTGGCCCTGTGTAGGAGTATCTGTAGGTCAGTATTGGGATTGGCGTCCATGTGGAATCCCCGTTTAAGGTGTGTGTGCATGTGTGAACTGGTTACAGGTATTTTCAGGTGTGTTTTTTGGGGGCAGAAGTCTACAGAGGCATGCAGGCATTCGCAGGTACTATGTTTGTATGGCATGTGTGTTTGGGTGTGTGTGAACATCTGTGTCTTGGTGTCTGTGGATGGGTGGAGAGGTTTTGTGTGCTGTGAGTGGGCCTCCATGCAGCTGTCTTCAGTTGTGGAAGTGCACAGGTGTGAATGGTATAACTGTGTAAGTGTCCTTGTGTAGGTGCCTCACAGCACATATATCTGTGTACATACAGGTGAAGAGTTGGAGGCACGCTCCTGTACAGGTGTTGTGTCTACACTGGTGTGCAAGCCCTTGTCCACATGTTTTGCAGCGTGTATGCATGTGTCTGTGGGTGGGCAGTATGTGAGCTCCAAGGTGTCTGCGGGGATTGACTGTACAGGAAATGTGTGACAGGTAGATTTGCGTAGAGGTACAGCTGCATGTATTTTTGGAGGGTGTCAGGGGCCTAGGTGTGCGTCTTGTTCCATGGGGTTTGGAGGTGCCAGGTCTATGTGTACCAGGCTAGCAGTGGGGGAGGGAGGTCGTATTCCTCTGGGGCCTCTCTCATGCTGGGTAGGGGTCTTGTGTCCCAGAAGGAGAACCCAGCGTTAGTGGAGTCTGAGGCAGCAGAACCAGCTGAAGAGGCCTTCAATCCCATGTCACAGCTGGCCCGCCGGGTGAGTTCTCCCTTCTTCCACCCCAACCCTGGGGAGCCTGGCAGAAGCTGCTGTGGAGTCCTGGGAGGTGGTGCTGGGGGCCCTCCTTGACTCCCAGCCCCTCTCTCCCAGGTTCAGGGGGTTGGGGTGAGAGGCTGGCTGACAATGTCGTCTCTGTTTAACAAAGAAGACGAGGACAAGCTGCTGCCACCAGAGCCCTGTGCTGACCAGTACGTGTGTGTGTTGAGGGGGTCTGGGATGGGCCTGGGCATCCCCTTCTCCCATGTCCTTTCCTCTGGTTTGTTTGTCTTTCTGACTACGGAGGACTGGGGAGGGCCAGCCCCTGGCTGTTTGTTTCTCTCAGCAGGACAGAGGCCCAATCAGCATATCTGGGAGATTAGGTTAGCTCTCAGGAGGAATTTACCAGCTGTTGGGATTGAGATGCTAAAAGGTATTATGGGCTCTCTCTCCCCATCCATGTGGGAGGGGTCATCTCCCTAGAAGAAGGGAACCCTAGAGAGAAGTTTTAGGTGTTTGGAACAGAGAGTGGTTCAGATCAGTGGTTCCCAAGTATTGGTCTAAACCCTCCTCCTCCCAGGGAACTTGAGACAAACACAAATTCCCAGACCCTCCCTCAAAGATTTTGATTCAGCCGGTGTTGGCTGAGGCCTGGTATCTATATTTCCAGCGAGCCTCCCTGAAGACTTGAGGACAATAGTTTAGGAAGCACTGTCTTAGCAGGTCTTTGATGCTGGGGGCGTAGAGGGTCAGACCCTGGGCCTTGTCTTCCTTCTAGCTCTATTCTGGCACACACTCCATCTCTGCCCTTTCCTCCAGCCCAGTCACACTTCCCTTTCGGCAT